TCCAATGTTTCGGTCTATTTGACCTCACTGTGCACCTGGCACATGATCTTGGAACTTGCACTCGGTAACAGAAATGTGCTGCCTAGGTCTCCTTTTTAGAGTGACCCTCCTGCCTCCCCCCACCCTATGTGTAGTTAGCTAACAGCCTCAGCCACAGCACCTTCAGGATCCAGTCCAAGAGCAGAAGACCAGTGTCCCAGTTCAATCAATTAAGCAGGTGAAGTTCTCTCTTACCCAACCTGTTTCAGACCTTCTATTCAGGCCTTCCATTGATTGGATGAAGCCCACCCACTTAGGGAGGGCAGCCTCCTTTACTCAGGCTACCTGATCAAATGTTAATCTCCTCCCAAAATATCTTCACAGACACACACAACATAATGTTTGACCAAATATCTGGTACAGCAAAACTTGGTCAAGTTGACTTTGTCTACTTGTTTGTTTACTTCAGATAGTCTCTGACTTAGGCTCAGCGACACTCAAAAAACATGTAGATATTTTAAGCAAGCTTTTTTTACTTGGCCTATTGTTACTCTGGGATTGGATAGTAGTTGATTGGTATCTTGGACAATATAAAACTAATCTGATTAAAATTAAAACAAGCCAATTATGAACCATGTAAAACTAACCTGAAACTCAATTTTACAAATACTGTGTACCTCACCCACTTAAGAACTCCTTGAAAACATGGGAACTATCTTAAATTATCTTTTATCCCCTTAGCCTTATGTATTGTCAGGAAGCCTCATAGGGTCTCAAAGTTTCAATCTCTTTATCTATAGAATGTGGATTAAATGATCAAATTAGATAATGCAGATAAAATGATAAACAGTAACTACATGCAGTATATGCATGTAGTTAGTTCTTATCCAGTGTTCATTTTTATTGTCATCATCACCATTTCTACATAAATCAGTTATACTACAACTATGCAATAAAATGTATTCTTTTAATGTATCCATAACATCCTTACATTCCCTCTTATTCCTTACAAACAGAACTGAGTGTGGTGTAAAGGAGGCTGCCCTCCCTAAGTGGGTGGGCTTCATCCAATCAATGGAAGGCCTGAATAGAAGGTCTGAAACAGGTTGGGTAAGAGAGAACTTCACCTGCTTAATTGATTGAACTGGGACACTGGTCTTCTGCTCTTGGACTGGATCCTGAAGGTGCTGTGGCTGAGGCTGTGGGGCAGGTGATGATTCGAGTAGGATATGTCTTTTGAACTTTCTCCTACTCTTTCTTTTTTCTTGGGATGTAGACATGATGCCAGAAGCTCCAGCAGCTATTTTGTGACTATGAGGCAATTTGAGTATAGAAGCCAGCACCGGGGACAGTGGAGAAGGAAGGAGGAGGAGCCTGGATAGCCTGAAGCTGCTATACCACTCCTGGACTCCCTATTCCTGACTTCTCAACATACAAAAAGCAAATAAGTGAAACTCTAATTCGTTTAGACCATACTGTATACCTGTTTCTTCATCTATAAAATGGAGAGAATAATAGTAACTTAGTGTATAGGTTTGGTATGAGGATTAAATAATTAATATATGTGACTTAAAATAATTGAAAACTATGAGCAGAATGATCTCTAAAAATTGTAACAATCTGCTACCTCTTTCTCTTTTGTGAGAAAAATGTCTGGCATTTAAGTGCTCAATAACGTGTAAGCTATCATGAGCAACACTATTATTATTTCAAGTTTTTGTTACAGGTAATTTAATGCAGTTCATAATTAATACTGCAATGATTAAAAACTCTATTAAAACTTTCTAATGGTCAGAGAAGATATTCTTTATAAAATGTTTAGTGAGGGAAAAAACACTTCATTAAACTGTATGTATAGTATGACCCCAACTTAAACCATTATAGAAATGCTCAGGGAGGGGGGATCGGGATGGGGAACACATGTAAATCCATGGCTGATTCATGTCAATGTATGGCAAAAACCACTACAATATTGTAAAGTAATTAGCCTCCAACTAATAAAAATAAATGGAAAGAAAAAAAAAGAAATGCTCAGAAATTTGGAAAAGTTTTAGAAAGAATTGGTTCTGAGAGATATGATCACAGGTAATGTTTGTTGTCTTTAAAAGTTTCTCTATTTCCAAAATGTTAACAATAAATACAGGATGTTTATAACTGGGAAAGATGCTATTTTGAGACATCAAAGGAGGCTAAGATATAACAAGTGATTTTTATCTTAAGCAGATTTAAAGTAGCAATCCATGTGCTAGCACAAATCATCTAAGGAATGAGATAAATAAGTTACATTAGTGGTGAATTCACTCACACAGCAGAGCTAGTGGTAGCTGGACTTCAAAAAAGGACCTGTACATAGATAAATTGATTCTATGTTTATGTGTGTCCTAAAGTTTCTGAACCCACAGGTAAGGAATGTCTTAAAGGGAACATGGAGTCCTCAATGTGGGGAACCTGGCTTGCTGCCTACTCATTAGAGTGAGAGGGAAACACCAGGCATGACTTATTAAACACATTTAAAGAGCATGCCTCTGATTGTTTGTTCATGGAGACAGAGGCAGTCTGAATTAACTGTAGCAATAAACTTAAGCTTGATATACTGACTCAAGATTTTGGTTTTGTTTATGGAGACAGGCTCATAACATCATTCCAAGGCTTTAATAAAAACACAGAATTGATCCCTGAGTCTCCCTCCAACAAGCAGCACAGCCCTCTTAGGTGTGATGTCTGTACCATCACCCACAAATCAGGAGAGAGTTATTTCAGCATCAAAGAAATTCATAGGTATGTATTTTATACTTGGATCTTATTTGTGCAATTCTAAGAATAGAACGCAAGGAGAGTGGTTTTCTGATGTAAATCCCAATGAAACATAATTTCTTCAAGAAGTGAAGCAGTGCCAGCAGACGGTTTTCAGAGGTTAACATTTGGCTTTCAAAAAAATTACCAGCTCTGGCATTGTGCTCACAAAGAAATATGGTGCTCTTAACCGCACGTGGAAGCACTTTTGTGAGGAAGTGTTGCACTTCCAAAATTCTTTGACGTATCTCCTCCCCCACCTGCCTCTGCCGCTCCCACCATCACCTGCAGCAGATTGCTAGTTTGGTAAAGTGCCCAGCTCAAGCCCCAGCTAAAAAGTGCTTGCTTTCTCTACTTTCCCCAATACCATCTTTTCAAGACTCTGGGATTCTAAAGCACAAAAGATAAAGGGGCTCTGGCATGCGAGGAAGAAAGTGATTCTAGTCAGTAAATATTTGCTCCTATTATTATAGTCACTTGCTCCTATTATTTCTCAAGGCATGAGGAGTAACAATAGTAATTGCTAACATTCAGGGCAGGCTCCAGCGGCCATGGCACCTGGGCAGTTGCACGGGAGCCCACACTCAGAATCACCTTGCCCTTGGCTTAGAGCGCTGCCATTGTCATCTTAATTTTGGAACATTTTCAATTTGCCCTGAGTCCCACAAATTATGTAGCCATCCCATTAACATTTATAGAGCACTCAATATGCAACAGTCTCTGTTCTAAACATTTATTCACGTGTTAATTTCCTTGTTGTTGTTGTTTAGTGGCTAAGTTGTGTCCCACTCTCTGCAACCTCATGGACCCGCCAGGCATTCTTTACCATCTGAGCCACCAGGGAAGCCCTTTCATGTCCAGTCTCTCACAATTGCTGTTTCCCAGAGGCTACAAGATATGTGATGAAGGATGGTGGGATATGTGCTTCTGTGTTGTGTCAAAATTTTCTCCATTTTAAGTTCTAAGTTCAGTAAATATTCATAGCTATAACCCACGTCTTCCCTGAGAGCTCAGTTGGTAAAGAATCTGCCTGCAATGCAGGAGACCCTGGTTCCATTCCTGGGTCAGGGAGATCCGCTGGAGAAGGGATAGGCTGCCCACTCCAATATTCTTGGGCTTCCCTTGTGGCTCAACTGGTAAAGAATCCGCCTGCAATATGATAAGACCTGGGTTCCATCCCTGGGTTGGGAAGATCTCCTGGAGAAGGGAAAGGCTACCCACTCCATTATTTTGGCCTGGAGAATTCGGGGTTGCAGAGTCGGACACGACTGAGCGACTTTCACTTTCACAACCCACATAAACAAACCTCTTTGAAATCTTCCCATAATCTGTTTAAGAGGGTGAAGTTCTGAGACCAACAAGTTGGAGAAACACTGCAATACAGGAACGAAGCACGCTCAGGAAGCCGTTAGCAACAAAGACGGTGTAGATGACAATGGCGACTAATATGTGAGGTTTGCGTCCCATTTGGGGAGGAACTGGCCTTTCATGGAGAGGAAACCGCGTGGATGCGTGGAGGGAAAGGAACAAGTGGGGTGGTGGTTAGAGGCCACCGGGGCAAAGGCGCCCAGGGAGTGAGCCCGCCGAAAGCACCGGAGAGGCAGGCCGATCTCTCTGCAAGGACACACACGTCCTTCCCTCTCACACTAATACCAGAGAGGCCGTAAATTCTTCTCTAGCAGGTCAGCGATCTCATGAAAGCCAGGAGGACATAACATGGACCAGACAGAAAAAAAAGGCCTGTCTCTCCAAATGATAACATTTAAAACTCTGTCCAGTTTGTAACGACTGTACAGTATGGCGCACAAGTTAAAACATCTGCTTCCTGACTTAGGGGGGTGAATGAGACGGGAAAGCGACGCAAGGCAGGAAAAGGCGGGAAAATAAAGCCTTAAAGAAAGAAAGAGCGGGCTGCGGGCAAAGGGGGGAGGTAGCTCAAGAAGCCAATGAATGAGACCGAGGCTGCGGCACGTACACCGGCCGCCCGTGTGCGCAGGCGCACGCCTAGTGATCTCGCGGGAAAGAACCGTTGCAGGTCCCGGCGCGGAGCCCAGGTAGGAGGGGAGGGGGTGGGGGAGCGGGAGTGAAGTCTCGCGAGAAGAGGCGGTCGCTGTAGCGGAGCCCTCTGGCTGTGTGTGTGTGTGTGTGTCTGAGGAGGATCCGGCGCCGAAGCTGCGGACGGTTTGCTGAGCCCGTTAGTGTCCCTGCGGAGACTCACCGCCGGCGTCATGTCCCGGTACCTGCGCCCCCCCAACACGTCTCTCTTCGTGAGGAACGTAGCCGACGATACCAGGTATGTACAGGGGAGGCCGCAGGCGGTGGGGAAAGACCGCTGCGGCGACGCATGGGGCCTGGGTCGGGGGGAGGGGAAGGGGTGAAGATGGCGGGTACCGCGCGGGCTTTCGGGCCCAGACTAGGCCGCGCCGCCGGCTCAACCGCCGCGTGGGAGCGAGGGCGGCGGCCGCTGATCCTCCCGGGCGGTCGCGGGAGCGCGGGCCGCGTGGCGGGGGTTTCGGCCCCCTCCCCCTCCGCAGATGGTGGGGAGCCTTCCTCCCCGCTTCCTCTCTTAGGTTCCAATCTCGGGTCTCCGCCGAGCGTCAGCTCCCCATTGATTTGAAGTTAACGTTCTTTGGGGTGCACGCCCCCTCGGCCCACAAGTTGGCTTTTTTTTTTCTTTTAGTTAAAATTGTTTTGCAGTAAAATAACGGGATCGGGGCGGGGGGTGAGTGTGGCGTAGCATTTGCTACTCTTTTTGCTGTGTTATATTTGCCTTTTTTTTCTTCTTTTGGTGTTGGAGATGTTGGGAGAAAAGGGATGTTGAGATTAGAGATTAAAAAAATTTCTCCCAGTGAGACGGTACGAAATAGTCCTTCCCTTTTTCCGGGAAATGCCGATCACGCTTTGAAAACGGGAGGTTTAGGAAGCTTCTACCGTTAGGGCGTTGATAGCTAAATTGGATTAATCTGGACCGTCCCTTTGTTCTCGCCAATTCCCTTAATTGTTTGGAGTTGCGGTCAGAATTTTTTGGAAAAGGTGTTACCAGATTTACGGTTTCACAAGTAACCACTTGACACACACACACCATTTTGGTAGCCTTGTGTGATTTTTCTGTCTTTTAAGTAGGGAAAGGAAAGTAAGCAATAGTACTCTAGCTTCTAGGAAATTTTCCCCTTTTTGTCATACTGACATTTATGGGGAAATTTTATATATTTGTCTTTTATTTTTCAAACCGTATCTACCTGTTATCAAGTGTGTAACCCTGTCGCTAAAATTTGGGGCAAAAAAAGTGCTTGATATTTTTCAGAATACTAGAGTTGCTTTAATACTGTGGGGTTTTTTTAAATTAATACTTACAGACAACTTAATGTTAACTATAGTTTTTATGAAAAGTTAAGACTGTGGATAAAAGCAGTGAAGATTATGTTGTAATCAAGTTTTCTTAAATGTCTGTTTTCCTGTTGATGTAAAACACTAGTAGGTTTTATTACCAACTCTTTTATTATGTTCCAAAATCATGGATTCTGGCTGTCCTTTTTCAAAAAGACATGTTGTATATTTTTACAGTTGGCTCTCCCTGTTTCAGGTCATCCAGGAACATAACACAGTCCCTTTCATTATTTAAGATAGTACAGAAAGAAACCTCTTACAAAGAAACTGTTAAGAAAGAACATAAAAATTTGGCGTCTTTTTATGATGTTTTAGGTCTGAAGATTTACGTCGGGAATTTGGTCGTTATGGTCCTATAGTTGATGTGTATGTTCCACTTGATTTCTACACTCGCCGTCCAAGAGGATTTGCATATGTTCAATATCCTTTCTTCAGATGGCTGATTAGTGAGGGGTGTTGAAGTTTGAAATTCAAGTTTTTGTAAGAGGTAACATCTAAAAAGTAGTTTTTTTGGTGTTTTTTTTTTTTGTCCTCTAATAAATGTTTTGTCTTCAATTTTTTTCTAAATTAATTCTGACTCGCATTGTTCTTACTATTTCTTAAAGTTAATCCAAAAATAGTAAAATATTTAAATTCCCATTCATGCTGCTGAAACTCAAATCAATTATAATATGTGATTTAAATTTGAATACACTCTACCACCTCTAATGTAACTCAAAGGTTAATATGTTCTTGTGCTTAGCAATTAAAGTTTGGTATTCTTGTTTGTTAATTTGAATCACTTGATCAAAAACAAATTGTATAATAACAATGAGGTAAGCTTCTTTAATATTGTCCCCTAATTTGCTGTCCTCTGTTGTTACCTCAGAGAATGTAAAGCTGTACAGTTAATGGCGACCCCAAAGAGAAAGCATGAAAGAACCTTTAGAGTAGAGTTCAACACTTAAGGCAAGTAGACAAGCCAAAGACCTCTTAAGGATCAGGCTTGAAGAGAAGGGAGAGTTTGGGAAAAGAAAATATAAAGAAAAGCTGGAAGAAGGACAAGCCTAATGGGAGACAAAGCCTCGCTTTATCTACAAAAGGGGGAAAAGGTTGTTTTTCAAAGTTAAAGATAAAGCCATCTGTCATATTTGGCCAAGCATCTCATGACAAGTCCTTCTGACAAGCACTTAAAGAGTTAAAGGTCAAGATGAAGTTGAATGATGGCCAAGATTAAAGGAGTCATACCTGATGTATCCTACAGAATAACTATTTTCCTTGTTTTTTTTTCTTTTTTCTTTTTTTTTTTTTCCTAATGTTTTGTAAGCAGTTAATTTTCAAAATTTTTCCGGTTTGGTCTAGGGACAAAACCTGTAACTTGATTTTGTGGGCTTTTGATGTTGTGGTGTGGTCTTGTATAAATGCACTCTCTCTTAGCTTGTGAAGTTCAAGTGTAACAGGATGTAATGTTGTTAAGCTTAAATTCAGCATAGTTCTGTTTTGGGCCAGGTGGTCAGGTGCCATAGGGTGGCAGGCAGGGCTCTTGGAGAAGCATGAGGTTCTGGAGTCAAATCGACTCCACAGAGGCGTGGTGAAAGGGGATACAGGTGCGTGCATTGGGGATTACTTAGAAACTGCTCTGGTGGTCTTAGAAGGTCATATCCACTAGAGATACTGTCTGTTTATAGATTTTTAAAGGGAATGCTAGTGGCACACACATTCTTCTAAAATCTGCAGCTTAGTTCTGTGAAACCTACTGGTCCTGAATGCTTTAGCACATATGATCAGTTGTCCCAGAAACGGGCTGCAAAAGGCCTTATCCTTGCTATAAGCACTAATCAGGATCTATGGGAAATTGTTCCCTGGCCCAGAGTCTCAGGTGATATTATTTCCTTCCTTGAGATCATCTTGTGACAGCAAAGGTTTGGGCTGTGTCCTTAAATTCTTACTGCTTAAATTCACCAGATCTCTGCAAACTTAGCGGAGTTCTAGAGTGACTTAGGGGAAATGCCCAAAGCTGCCACTCTGCAGGGCCACTGCTCAAGGACAGTTGTGAGAATTGGTTGCAAAGCTCTGTTACAGAGAGGGTAAGAACTATATCTGGCTTGTTTTTTTTTTAAACCAGAGTGTTGACCTGACTTTACCTGGTTTGGGGGTGGCCTGGGAACCAGGATCAGGAGTTTGTGATACTTGAGCCAGAGAAGAGTTGTTATTCAAAGGAACCTCAAGGCAAATTACAGCTTTTTTTATATATATAAAATTTTTCTTTGGTCTTAAAATAGTTAAAAAGAAATGGGTATCAGGATTTTGTAAAGACGTTGAGTATAAATTTCTCCATAATTGGCATCAGAATATTTGACTGCCTTTGCTGCTGTTCTCTTTTTTATCTGACCCCATTCCCAACTAACTCTCTCTTAACGGGTAAGGTAGAGCCTTGCCATGGTTCATCCAACCCAGGATTCTGTTTTTGAGGGTAGCCCCAGATGGTGATTGGCTCTCATTAATAATTTTTATGTTTCATGATCTAAATCCTTTTATTTTGTCTCAAAGTAGTATACCATTAAATGAACTTGTTCTTTTCAATTATTTTAGAGCCGGACTGCATTAACCTGGAAGAGTGTTTGGTTATAGTATTCCAGGCTGTAAACTCCCCATCAACCTTTGTCTTTTCATGATGAAAGCATCATGATATAAGACTTGAGAAAGCCTCTCCTTCACTACACATAATCGCCTCGGGAAGAGAGAACTGGGACCCTGCTGTGGTCCTTGAGTCCTTTGAGAACAAAAAATAGCAAATATAGTGAGACAGATCTTTTAGTCTCTGGAGTAAGAGAATATTAATAATCAGTCTTGAAGGGAGTATATTGCTTTGCGATGTTTGGAATCAGCACTTAAGATCTGCACTCCTCTCAAATTTAAGAAATAGAAATGGACAAGTTAGAACAGTGAATTTTAGTATGTGAATTTTAGAATGAAAATCCACACCCAAACCTAGCCTAGGTCCACTTCAGAAGCTTTTCTGTTAGGCACTGCTCTGAATATGTGCTTGGCTTCTATTAGAATCGTGGTTTTAGGAAAGGAACTAAATTTGGCCTGAAGAATTTTGTGAAGCTTACATTGACTGGGGAAAACAAAGCAACTTGGCTCTCAGATCAAAAGCTGGGTACCAGCAATTCCTGCTTTGGGCTTATAAGTATTATCTTGAAATTCTCAAATTGAAAACCAGTCCCAAACCCGTTTCCTCATGGGAAGCTTTATGTTTAGTGTCATGGTTAGGGCTTTCTAGTCCAGGAATCTTTAGAAATGGTCTGTTATTTCCTGACAGCATGCTTTTATAGTCTGTGCATGGATGTAATGTGCTTTTGGTATAGTGATGTCTTTAGTGTTGCTTGATTCTGTCTTGCTAACTGCAAGTGGCTAGCATATCAGTGTGGTATAGTAAGACAGCTACATGAAATAATCGGTTAGATATGTCTGAAAAAATAGCAAGATTAATTTGAGGTTAATGCTTTCATTTCTTGTAAGGTATATTCTGCTTGCTTACACAAGAACTATTGGCTTTTTTTTTTTTCATTTGAAACAAAAATACAAAAAACAGTTTTGGTTTTATTTTAAGAAATTTTTGTTTTGGCATACAACATAAAATTGGCATTTGTTTTTCTATTTTGTCTTTTTCTGTAAAATCCTTAAAACAGGAAAATCCTGATGGGCTTACTTGGTGGTTCAGCTATAACAGACTTTATATCAATTATAACTTTATAATGTGTATTCGCATGTGTTTTCAAACTTAACCCAAGTGCCTTAATACTATAAACTGTTTATAGCTGAATCAACCAACTAGTTAGTGGGGTCTTGATTTTCCAGAATAATGTCGAGAGATTGCGAATTGTTCCAGACTTACCAACTGAACTCATTCATTATCAAAGTTTGCAAAACTTCCCAAGCCCCTTAACATTTAGCACATTTGAGGATGTTCGTGATGCCGAAGATGCTTTACATAACTTGGACAGAAAGTGGATTTGTGGACGCCAAATTGAAATACAGTTTGCACAGGGGGATCGAAAGAGTAAGTATAAGTACTCTTATGTCTAATACATGTAAAATACATCATATTTAGACACTGTTTTGAGAGTGCTTCTTGGAAATATTTGTGCAGTATGTCTATCTGTTCAAAACGGAAAACGATAGTTTGGGGGAATTCTTGAATACTTTGCAGAATTTCAAGGTAGACATAAGGATTTAGAATGCATTGACCAGAATCCCTGAAGTATGTTTGGACACTAAGAAAGTGGATCATTATTATCAGTTATGGCATGTTTAATATACTGATTGTGTAATTGAATAAAATTTATAAAGTTTTGGTTCTTTTGAGTCTTTTCCCTTCCTTATAAAGATCATCATGGTATATTGAGTAATTATGTAGGTGCCTGACTGTAGAAGTTGACAGACTGAGAAAGAGTATATAGATTAAACCTAGAATAGATGCTATTATTAGTACTTGATTTTTGTTAATGCAGGCATAAACCAGGTGCTGGCTGCATGCTAATAAGGCAGAAGTACAGGCTTTATAGTCAAATGGACCTGGGTTTAAATTCTGGCTTAACCATTATGTTATCTTAAGCAAGATAGTAAAAGATAGAGGTTAAAATAGTTACTGAAGAGGAGAATCACTTAGGTAGATACAAGCTATTGGTAATTCTCTAGTTTTTGGGTTGAATGATAGGTTCCTGGGTAGTCACTGTATTATTTATACCTTCATACACACATACATAAAGTATCTGCTTCATAGGATCAAATGAGATTAATCAAAGGATTGAGGCCTGTCCAAGGATATGGGTGATGTCTAAGGCATTCAGCAAGTGTTAGTTTTCTTTGTCATGGTTTCTCAGAACTATATAACTAAATGTATGTTGTTGCATTTGACATTACATATTGTTCATAGGCCACCATTAAGTATTTTGTCATTGTTAATTGTGTTCCAGATGAATGGAAACCATGGTAAGATTGTTCCAAATTAGCATGTGGTTCAAAAGTCATTTGTATTTTAATTTGGAATTTTAAAAATATTTTCCTGATGTTGAAGTAGTTGACTTATTTTGGACAACAAACTAGATGTGAGAGGTCTTTGGGGAAAAAAAAATAATTGGGATAGTTGAGAGTGTCATTTTTAACATAAAACCATCTCTAAATACCCTTGCTTGAAAATAAATACCTTTTCCAAGATATTCACAGTTAGCCTTGACACAGATTTCAGGGCAAAGGGGAAAGTGATACAGGAAATTTTCCTATAATTTGAAGGCTTAAATACTACATTTTTAATGTTCGTAAATATTTCCCTTCTCTGTTTCATAGCTCCAAATCAGATGAAAGCCAAGGAAGGGAGGAATGTGTATAGTTCTTCACGCTATGATGATTATGACAGATACAGACGTTCTAGAAGCCGAAGTTATGACAGAAGAAGATCAAGAAGTCGGTCCTTCGATTACAACTATAGAAGATCTTATAGTCCTAGAAAGTAAGTGATGTGTACCACAGTGATCTGACAGAAAAACTTTGTTAGTCTTTAATTTTTAAAATCTTTTTGTATACTTTTTAATTATGTATATTGTATGCTTCATTGAGACTTAAAATATTTTCACTACTTTATTTTTTTTAAGTTTTATGGTTCACTTTTTAAATTAGAAACATAAATAGACATGTGTCACTGTTTGCTTTTTCTGATGTACTTTTTAGCAGTAGACCGACTGGAAGACCACGGCGTAGCAGAAGCCATTCCGACAATGATAGGTAAATAACTTTGCTTTGAAAAAGACTTTATACATTTTTCAATTTCAGAGTGAACTTTTGCTCTAAAAACAAATTTGATTAATATAGAATCTAATTTTTACTCTAATTGTATTTCTCCTCTGTTTTGAAAGATTCAAACACCGAAATCGATCTTTTTCAAGATCTAAATCCAATTCAAGATCACGGTCCAAGTCCCAGCCCAAGAAAGAAATGAAGGCTAAATCACGTTCTAGGTCTGCATCTCACACCAAAACTAGAGGCACCTCTAAAACAGATTCCAAAACACATTATAAGTCTGGCTCAAGATATGAAAAGGAATCAAGGAAAAAAGAACCACCTAGATCCAAATCTCAGTCAAGATCACAGTCTAGGTCTAGGTCAAAATCTAGGTCAAGGTCTTGGACTAGTCCCAAGTCCAGTGGCCACTGATAGTATAAACCATGATATTTTTAGGCATGTATCATTCATTTACTCATAGTTTGGTTTACTTAAATTATCAGGAATACAATGTTGCAATGATGCTTAAAAAACACTTGTCAGTTTTCCCTGTACCAGGCAATGGTTATAATTAAAATGATATGCTGTTGAGAAGCCACTCTTAAGAGTCCAGTTTGTTTAATGTTATGGGCAGCTACCAATTCGTGGTGTCTCTGTATATTTTTGTAAAGATTCTCATTTTTTATGCTTGAAGTATTGGTGAAAAGATGTTGGTTGACCATAATTTGCAACATTGTCTTATTAAAAATAAACTTTCATATCCATATTTGGTAGAACTGTTAACCTAGAAATGTAGCTTGCTAATAAGATAGAATGATAAAAAAGTGAAGTTGTAGCCACAGTACAGCACTGACCGACCAGACACATTTAGGTTCAGGGTGGACCTTTTTGTCTTGTCAAGATGTCTAGGCCCGTGATGATAATTTATGGCACAGTGTGGAATAGTTCTTTTGTTAACCCCCACTGTCTTGGGAAATGACAACTGAGTTAAGTAGCATTTTCAGGCAGATTGTTTGTTTGAAACAAGGAGCCTTCACTTTCCTGGTTTCTGTGAAGATTTGGAACCATACAAACGTCGGAAAAACTCACCTTAAAATTTGGGCAGGTTGATGATGGCAGAAATAATTTTAAGGGGAAAAGAATGCTCTTACGTAGTTACTCTAAACTTTAAGGAGCATTGTTGACCATAATGCATAGTTTTCTTACTGCTGTTAAAAGCAAGTATAGTGCTTCAAAGGAGGTTTTGTTTGTGAGTGCATAGTATAAAAGGACTGAATTTTGATGCTTAAAGCCCTTGGTGTGTGCATTTGTATCAAAATGTGCCCATCTCTTTATGAAGGAAGCTTGTTCTTCACACCTCAGTTTATTTAACATGAGGCAAGTTAAAAAGCAACACTCCCATTCTAAGTGATTCTCTGGTGCCATGAGATTTAAAATAAGCTTGGAAAAAATTAATTTCAAGAAAGTCACATCTCCTGAGTTTTTGGTTATTTAATACCCAATAAAAATAAGAAAATAATACCCTACTCTTTATAAAAATGTCTAACATCTCTCTGTGAGATCATGTGGGGGCAATAAAAAGTGACTTGATATGTCCAGTCTCATTTCAGAGTAAAAGCTAGCATCTTTAAAATTTTAGATTGCTTGCTTACAGGCATAAGTAAGAAATGTTGTGGGGAAACTATCCCTTTTAGAGGATTACTTTTTTCAGTTTTGGTTTTAGAGATCTAGGCCTTGCCTGTAAAGAACAAAAGGTGGTTTTTAAATACTGTTTGTGGAATGTGTTTAAAGGATTGATTCTAGAACCTTTGTATATTTGATAGTATTTCTAACTTTCATTTCTTTACTGTTTGCAGTTAATGTTCATGTTCTGCTATGCAATCATTTATATGCACGTTTCTTTCATTTTTTTAGATTTTCCTGGATGTATAGTTTAAACAAAAAGTCTATTTAAAACTGTAGCAGTAGTTTGCAGTTCTAGCAAAGAGGAAAGTTGTGGGGTTAAACTTTGTATTTTCTTTCTTATAGAAGCTTCTAAAAAGGTATTTTTATATGTTCTTTTTAACAAATATTGTGTACAACCTTTAAAACATCAATGTTTGGATCAAAACAAGACCCAGCTTATTTTCTGCTTGCTGTAAATTAAGCAAACATGCTATAATAAAAACAAAATGAAGGAAATAATGATTAACTGGAATTATTATAGTTTTGAATGAGATTCTAAAATAACAGTGGAAACAATTCTTTGTAGATTTAGGAGTATTTTAAATCAGTGTTGCACTAGGCACAAGTTTTACTTTGGAAATGATAGAACTTGCCAGAAAGGTACATCTTTTACATAGTACTTAAAATTTCCTATGTAATTTCAAAAGTTGTTTCATGATTGCATATTAAAACCCCTTGGGTTAAATAACTTAGGTTACTTGTAGTGTTAAGATATGCATTAAAATGAAATTTGAGTCAGATTTTTAAGTTTATATTTTCATTATTAGATGGACCAATAATTCTACTCGTCCCCATCCTAAACAAGGTGGATTGGGCCTTATGTTTATGGCATGATTTAAAATATTTTTGCCTTCAGTGTTGGTGAGCACTCAATGTTAAGTGATAGTCACTGTGGGAAACTGGTTTAGGTGTTTTGTGGTCTGAGTTCTAGCTTTATACTGAAAACAAGTATAGCTGATATTTATTACGATGTGCCAGACACTGTTCTAGTCTTACGTATTAATTCATTTACTCATGAACCCTGTAAGAAAGATAATTTTATTTTCTCCATGTCACAGATGATAAACTGAGGCACAAAGAAAAAGCTGTAAAAGGCAGATCCAGGATTTGAGCTCAGGCCTGATCCTTAGATGATTTATTATTTTTTTTTTTTTAGTGGACTATAAATAGAGTAGATTTAGGGAATAACCCATTGAAATTGTTCTCAGTCCATATAGAATTAGAAGGCCTGATGTTTTCGGTTTTTTTACGTGTCACTTATTTTTAGACTTTCTTGGGAATTTTATATGTTATTTCTAAAGTGACATACTTAACATGGCTTCAAAGGGACTATTTTATAGCTGAAACCAGGGTAGGGATCCTATTGATACTTGAGGATCCTTATAGAGGGCTTTAATGTTGGTTACATAGTTGCATAATTATTGAGTATGTACTATGTGTCTGGCACAACCCAGTATTGGAGTAGAACATAATCAAGACTCAAGTGAGAGCTGACAGTTCACCTCTTTTTACTTAAGATCTCTCTGCATTTTTTTTTTTTTTTGAAGCCAAGTAAACAAGAATAATAATGACAGATAATGCTTAAGAAAGGAAAGGTGCTACATAGAGTATGAGCTCTTAAGTTACAACCCAGGAAAAATACCTGGGAACTATTATACTATTCTCTTGAAAATTTGGCCCTGTAAGCTGCTACATCCAGTTCAACTAACAAAATCCTGTATACCACAGAGAAGAATAAAGAAAAACCAAACTGACAAACATCCTTCTTTTATTTAAGACCAAACTGCAGCTGGAATACCCAGTACAGTTCTGCTTACTACACTTCAAGAAAGATCTGAGAAAGCGGAAAAAGAACCAAAGAAGGGCAGTTCAAGCGACCAAAGGGTGGGTGGAAGGTGCTGCAGTATGAATACTGTACGAATATTTTGACTCTGGTCTGAAAAGATAAAAAGAATGTTATGGAAACTACATGGAATATTTGAAGTCCCTTCAAGTTTGAAAGTAAGCATTTTAGGACAAATAAAAGGAAATTCAACTTTGTACTTGTGGAAACTAATCCCTAAATCTGAATAGGTTTATACTGATTCATGGGTAACAGGTCCATGTTAAATTATTGGAAACTAGGATGTCTGAATATCAAGGAAGACAGCCATAGTCTCTTACAGTGCCTCTATTGGTCTGTCTCAAAGTGAATTGGGTGAGAAAAGGTATGGTCCAATATAAACTTGGTTATCTCTTAAAGTCAGTTCTATTTTTGCTATTGGGAAATCTTGCCTTTGTTTATTATTCCAGTGCCAGTGTTTTCTGCTAATGCTTTGCTTTGTTGGCATCTGAGTTTCCTTACTGGTATGCCATATGTGGTTTACATCTTCCTTAAACACGCTCCCTCGTAAATTCCAATTATGATACTTGACATCCAGCTAAGAGGGTCCATCTCTTCTCACCTCTTTCCTAGTCAGTATATACAGCAAACATTTACTGAGCCCTTAGTATGCCCAAAAATTGTACGGGGTAATTGGGGAGAAAAACAGATAAAACCCACTTATTCAATAAATGTCTACTGAGCACAATCTAGTGAATCATTACAGTGTGGCCTCATTGTCTTGTTTGAGGTGTATTATAACAATATTTTACACCATTTATATCCTATGTAATTATAAAATCTGATATATTATCAAAGAAGCAATTTTGTGGTTATTTGCCATTTAAAAGTATCCAGTATTTGTTTGCATCCCATTAATAACAAATAATGAAAAAATGTTTTAATCTGTAATAAACTGATTTATTGTGCAGTGACTGTAATATACTAGAGTTATATTTAATTGTTAACTCTGCCTCCTCAGACACATATTAGGCAACAATCCCCAAAATAAGTATTTAACTTTGCATCAGATGTAAAGGAGACTCTGGGTGCTATAATTAAGATTTATTTTGAGGCAGACAGAGAGCTGTTAATTCCCAACTGATTTAGTATGTTCTGTAATTGAGAAAATGTTCACCAAATTATACTTTTTAGTGATTTACATGTACATTTTATAGGGGACATGTTCTGTGTATAGTGAATAAATAACTTTTGTAGTATCAAAATGTTTTGGATTCCTTAGTTCCTCATTAGGATGTGCAGTTTACCTATACATTGATTTCATCACTTGCATATTTGTCTTATTTCTGCTGCATTTAAAACTTTTTATCTAAAGTTATTCCCCCTAAAAATATAGAAGTGTTTAAGCCTTTATAAAGATTTTGAAAATATAGCAGAATACATCTAAGGGAGATGTGAAATGGAGTTATTTTTACCCCTGCTTCATTTTTTAATATTTCAAACTTGCACAAGACCACACAGCAAGTAAGTGGCAGATACTAGTTAGTGTCCATGGTTTTTCATTTGGTTCATCTTTTTTAGTCAAATCGGTAAATTTAATAACTTAATACAATTAATACAATGGAATCTAGAATTCACTTGCAAGATTTAATAGATTTGTGAAAATAATTTTAGAGTATTTAGTAACTTTCTTGGATGTAAAAGAGGTTAAATGTAATCCAGGATTAGCTGTTGACAGCAGCACTCACTCACTTTCCAATCTAGCTTCCCAAATTTCAATCACATTGTATTGCATTTTGAACATTCTTGTTTACAAAATCCTGAGATATTTTGAAGTGGGGAGGCTGTGAACTTGAACAGCACAGTGGTAGCTCAGGAGTAACAG